GTGTTGGTTCTGTACCAAGCTGTACCGCATGTAGATGACAACATGTGCTCGCCAGTGGCGATGAAAGAAGAAACTGAGCCTCGGCCCGATTTGTTTCTCCGCCCGTACTCTAGCTGTACAATAATAAAAATTGACAAAAAAACATAGGGAACACATCAAATATTCTCAAAGTGGGCCCTGCGCTCTACTTCATTCAGGTACAGTAAGTGTGCGGGATAACCTGTTCCGTCCACCCTTGCTGTTCATCAAAGATATGGTGCGGCGTAATCACCAATAAGAAGGAACCTGGGAGGCCGAAATTGTTTCCAGGAACGATACTGTGGTTGGCCAGTCAGGAAATAATGCTCACTTCCCTGTTCCCTGTTCTGGGAAGGGGGCACAACAAATCAACAAAACAAACGAACACCATGTTCTGTGTGAGACACACGAAAGCGGACAAAAAAACAGATCAAAACAATATTCCACACAGGGCAACAAAACGACTTCCCGGCATCAACCACCGCCGCTCCATTGCGACAGGAGGTCACCCCTTACACTTCGTATTCTAGCACCTACAGTAAGTCTCTGTGACCACGGTGTAGGGTAGAAAATTTCGTGATTTGCACAGTGATTGATTGTAGTTAGCGGCGTCCGGTCAGCATGTTGAAAATGACGCGTTCAAGGCCTCCAACCATTGAGCTCGATTGTCCCTCTTTATGGACAGATACGCGGTGTAGCAGGCAGGTGCCCCCCCTTGGCTCTACCGATTGTTACTCTTACAGTGAAACCCTTTAAGTAGCGTTCCTGCTTGCACCACCACCACATGTGGGAGAAAAACGTTCTCGTAATCCATCGCGTGGTGCCCACCATAGCCTGCAAGAACTCCCCCCTTTGTGCGAAAAGCTCCCGCCCTAGTACATAAGCTACCGGAATGCGTGGATTCTCGGGATACTGGTCAACCACCCTCTACCAAGCCCTGGTGTTTCGGGTGAACTTGACGGACAGGCACCGACAACGACAAACCACAGAACGAGATACGCTCGTTCTCCCAAGTCGAAATATCCCTTCAAGGTAATACCCAACGGTAGTCTGGACCCCTTGGGTACAACAACGTCCGCCAAAGGGATAGAATCCGGTGAGGGTGGTTTCAGGTGCATACGCTGCACCAAACAAGACCGACGGCTAGCGAGTTGGAGCAGCAATCGAATGCGAGTCCAACCACTTTTGAACATTGTCGTTCCGAACCCACACCATCCCGCCCCTCCCGTCGGTGACACGTTTCATCTCGTCCCTTAAGTCGATGTAGCCATCACCATCCCGGGCGTTCTTAACCCTGTCAACTTGTTCCTGGTCCATGAACTTCTTCAGCGCTTCATACGAGGCCCTCGTATCCGTTTGCAACTCTGCCCCGATGTCGTCGTCACCCGAAACAGCACGGAGCAGCGCCTCGTCGAGAGTCCGGTCGACTAGCTCATTGACCAACCCATCTTTCACGTCCTTCAGGAAATTCGAGATGTCCACGTCCAGCCCTGTCGTTGCGTTGAGCGCCACCTTCGCAGTCACCACGGCCACCTAAAGGAAGAGGGCGCACAAACAAAACGACAACAAAGAATCCACCATATAGCTTATATCACTCGCATGTCAAGGCATGACCCAAGCAACCTAGCCCCAATGTACCACGCCTTGGAAATGTAAACCCGTCTTGCAAGGGGAGAGGTGCTCATTCGGAGTGCGACGAACCTCCCCCAATATAAGAGGGTACCTACCATGAATCGTTGAACCTCACCGTAGAACCCCATCAGAAACAACAGGGTCACCTACTCCTTCCGGCCTCTTCCAAAACCCTTGTCTTACCTGAAGGACAGGCGATATTTTCTTTACCCAGCCACGCGTCTCCTGAAATCGATAGCCTTCACCACCATAGCCGCACGGTACCTTTGTCATGTCGACCGGGCACAAGAAGTGAAGTGTCATATCTTTCTTCCCTAAAAGACGCAGCTTGCTCAGCAAACTCTTCTTCCCATGAGCCTTCGATGCAGTGCCATCAGATCCAACCTCCTTGACGACCACGAGGCGAGGGTAACGGTAGTTCGGGGCCTGCAAGTGCCTGATGCGCATGAGGCTTTCCTGGGTGCTCTCCAGCACCTTATCCAGCCTTCCCGATATCATGCTGAACCCGTCCTTCACTTCCTTTTTCACGCCACGCAACTCGGTGTTGGTGTCGTGGAACCCTCCCTTCACCACGCCCTCTAGGTTGCTGATCCCCACTTCCACAGCTGTGGCCACGTCGTCCATCTTTCGAATCAACTCGCCCTGCTCCTGGGAAGGATCCTGCTTTGTACAAACATGACGCGACGACAGGCACAGAACGGCCACACTCAGCTGCAAGCCACATAGCAAAAACAAATGTGTGCCCCGACGAAGAAGGACTGCAATCCTAGTTCGGAACGTTGGGGAGACACCTTGAGCCAGACGAACAGCCAGGTCGTTGCAATGTGGAATAGGCGATGTCAGCATATGCCTCCAGCGCACCCTTTCCGAACGAGGGCATATTGACAGACGTCAAAGAAGTGAATTTTTCCTCCCGTTACTGGCCATCCCCGTAAGAACGTGATGGTGTCGTGCACTTGCGCACACAAGGCTGCAAGCGAGGAGCAAAGGAACACGGCAACATCAAGGTTGTGCCTCCGATCTTCTGTCTAATGCACACAAGACCAAACAAATGAAGATACAAGCCGCAGAACAAGCCAGATTGCGGCACCTGTCATCGGCTGACGATGCCCGAGGAGGGTCACAGATGATCGTCGAGGGGAATCAACGTTGTAAAACATTCAAAGGATGGCATCTATATCTGAACGTGATTTTGTCGCTCGATACTCCGAGATCTAGGAAATGAATCGCCGCAAGTTACAAGCAGCGGCGTAAAAATCACGCCAACACCTGACGAAAAACAGCAAAACTACTGCTACACCAAGAAATGAAATACGTGGCGCCTGCATGTTTCAACGTGGCCTCTCTATGGTACAAATTATCCCGTCCAGCACACGTGCTCACCGTCGGACGAGAGAAGATGTGTTCGCATTCCAAGAACCTCGCCTTGACCTCGTCGAAAACCACGTCTGTGGCATTGATGGCGTCAAGCAATCGAATGGGGCACAGTGGCACTCAGCGCCGTCACCCATCCATCGCAACGCTAGAAGAGACGAGGCGCCTACAACGTAGCCCAACGGGCGGTTGGCAAACTCAAAATGCAAAAGATCGGGGCCAGATTGGACTGGAATACCAAACACGAAGTCAGCCAGGAGCAAACAACAAATTCTGGCCCGGATCCCCTTATCGAATGTCCTTGAAAAGCGGAAGGATGTAATGTGCACACGTCAACCGCAACGATAAACGTGCAAGCCGACCGGCAAACGAAGCCAATATAGCAGCATCCCGTGCGCCTGCATGCAACATGACATTCTGCACTGTTGATCATGGGTGGCAGCCTACCCGGTACTGCCGAAGAATACGAAATGCGGAACGAAACAAGAGCACCAAATTCACGTGG